AGATTAGTTATTAAAAAAAAAAAAAACAGAGACTACTTCTTTTCTTCTCGTCTTTCGTCCGCGTCTCATCAAAATAAGTAATGGTCCTCGCTCCACTGGACAACAAACATTTTAAATGTATCTGGACCTCGCAATGGTCCCGATACGTTCAAAATGTTCGATCAGCCCAAATGTATTATTCTGTCAGCTTTGCAGTCCAGATACATGTCGAGTGTTAAATGGTGGAGCCAGCCCCCTCCTAAAGATTGTACACGCCATACCTTTCTCGGCCTTTTTTATTGGCTAAGATAAAGTATAGTATCTGTTCTGATCAGTTTAATAAAAAAAAAAAGGAAAAAAAAAAAAAAAAAGATTGCACGCGAAATGCATCGCTCGATTTCCTGTTTCCAATTGAGAAAATTGGCAAATCTGGAATATGTTTTTAGAAAAAAAATAAAAAAATAAAATTGCAAATGGAATTGAACTTGAGACCTTTTTTTTTTCGTTTCAACTTGATACTTTTTTTTTTATAGGTGTTTTTTGTTAAAAAAAAAAGGAATTTTTTATTTATAGAAACCTTTGAATTGATTCTTTTTAACTTATTATAAGTTATTAACAGTAATTGGCATTACCAAAAAAAAGAAAAAACATCTCGCAGGCGTCGAGAAGAGGGCAAACGACAAAAACAGGATGAAGGGTTGAGGCAAGAAGAGGCAAGAAGAGAGAAAAAGAGAGAGAGAGAGAGAGAGAGAGAGAGAGAGAGAGAGAGAGAGAGAGAGTAGCTGGTTCTAGAAGGCTCTAGAATCTTCTAGAGGCTTTCTAGAGGCTTCAGGGAGCGAAGGAGGAGGAACAAGAGAGACGGAGGAGGAACAAGAGAGACGGAGGAGGAACAAGAAAGGCGGAAAAAAAAAGAAAAAAGAAACAGACGGTTCGTTTAAAAACTGCAATGCCCTCACTCTACTGCTCAACCCCTGGGTTGTTGCAACCTTTTTCTTTTTTTTTTTCTTTTTTTTTCTTTTTCTTTTCTTTTTTCTTTTCTTTTTTCTTTTCTTTTTTCTTTTCTTTTTTCTTTTCTTTTTTCTTTTCTTTTTTTTTCCGTCATTATTTCTGTCGGAAGACTCGGAGCAGCAACATTTTCAACGATTTTTGTTTTATTATTTAATTATTTTATTCATTAGAACGATTATTACAATAACAAACTTCAAAATATATATATATATCGTCAAATATATATATATATATTTCGGAACATTTTTACTCTTTGCCATTCGAAAATGGCATTATTATTATTATTAATTTATTATTAGCAAAAGATATTCACCCCCAACCCTCTCCCCTCCCCTCCCCTCCCC